GGGGCGTGCTGGCTCAGGCCTGTAATCCCAGCACTTTGGGAGGCCAAGGCAGGTGGATTACCTGACGTCACGAGTTCGAGACCAGCCTGGCCAACATGGTGAAACCAGTCTCTACTAAAAATACAAAAATTAGCTGGTGGCGGGTGCCTGTAACCCCAACTATTCGGGAAGCTGAGGCAGAGACTCGCTTGAACCCGGGAGGCGGAGGATGCAGTGAGTCGAGATCGCACCACTGCTCTCAGGCCTGGGTGACAGAGCGAGACTCCGTCTCAAAATACAAATACAAAATTAAAAAGTACAATACAAATAACCGAGCGTGTACGCCTGTAGTTACCAGCTACTCGGGAGACTGAAGCAGGAGGATCCCTTGAGCTCAGGAGCTTGAGGCTGCAATGAGTCATGATCTTGCCCAATGCACTCCAGCCTGGGCGACAGAGCAAGACCTTGTCTCTAAAAACCAAAATAAAGAAACTAAAATGAGCGTTCGGATTTGTTAGGGGGTGACAAGGGAGGAAGTCCAGGATCTGTGTCCCACTTTGTTCTGTCCTAGGAGAGCCCTGGAAGATCTGAGAGGGGACAGGGCCCTGGTCTAGTGGGTGGGGGACACACACACCTAATCAGAGGAGTTTCAGGAGGACATAGCACTTCCCTGGGGAATCTAAAGTGGGAGGCATGGTCTGGCAGGCCCAACCCTGAAGGCTTCTGTGGGACAGGCTTACTAGACCCTGTCTTTAAACAAATTAAATAAATAAATAAGAAAAAACCACCTCTGAGAGCCTAGGGGGCGAAATGAGGGCGTGGCCCGCTGGGCGTGACCAACAGCAAAAGCTTAACTGTTATTGGCTGTATTCGTTAGTTGCTCGCCCCAGAACCGCCCAGTTATGGGCGGGGACACTCCTTCAGTGTTAACACTCACTGGCTGAATTGGCCTGGAGAAGTCTCATTGGCTGAGCTCGCCGGGGGCGGGACCCAAAGTAGGAGAGGCCTACGGAAGCTGGAACTTCCTGCTGTGAGGTCGCGTTACCCAGTGTTGCAGAGGGTCCTAAAGCCAGGAGTGAAAATTGGGGTCTCGGGATTAGTCCTGGGGCGGAGGTTGGGGCACGCTGGGTCGGACCCCCCCATCCAGTTTTGCACACCTCGCTTTCCAGCGTGGAGTCGCAGCGACTCGAGCGGCGTCGCGTGCGTGACGTCATCCGGCGGCGCCACGCGCGACTTCCGTGGCCTTGACTTCCAGTGGCGTGGGAGGCTTCGTGGCTATGCTGCAGTTGGTCCGGGCTGGGGCGCGTGCCTGGCTTCGCCCCACGGGCTGCCGGGTGAGGCCAGGGGCTGGAGGCGTGGTCGAAGGATGAAATGTGGGGGTGTCCAGGGGTCGTCTCTGACTTTTCGCCCACCCCTTGCAGGCCCTGAGTTCGCTGGCAGAAGAGGCAGCGCCTCCGACCGAGAAGCCGGAGCAAGTGGCGAGCGAGGGTGAGGCAGCAGGGATCGCCCTAGGAGGGGCGGCGACGGAGAGGTCTGCCCCTTGACCTTAACCCCTAACCCCCGCAATCGCTCCAGGTTTCCCGGAGCCCGTGCTGCGCAAAGTCGAGTTGCCGGTACCCGCTCTTCGACGCCCGGTGCAAGCCTGGGTCGAGTCCCTGCGGGGCTTCGAGCAGGAGCGCGTGGGCCTGGCCGACCTGCACCCCGATGTTTTCGCCACCGCGCCCAGGTGAACGGGAGCTGTAATGCTGAACTGAGTGGCAGAGGGATGAAGAGAGGGAGTTCAGGAGTCAGATGACTTTGGGCTTGTGCCTTTGGGAAAGTGCTCAATTTCTACAGCCTCCGTTTCTCTATTTGTCAGAGGGGGATGATGATAGTTTCCCCTGATGTAACGCTGTGTGAGATTGAAATTTCAGAAGTGACATTCTCTAGGGGTTAGGGAGACAACTCTGGAGCCCTACTGATTAGGTTCAAATCCTGTCTTCCCCTCTTATGCCTCAGTGTTCTATTTTGTCAGCTAGGTTCAAATCCTGTCTTCCCCTCTTATGCCTCAGTGTTCTATTTTGTCAGCGCTCAGGAGGTTGCTGGGATGAGTAAATGACTTGATTCTGGCACATAATAAGTCCTATAGAAAAGTTCATAATCATTTCTTAACTGGCTTTTGCAAATAAGAGCATGAAGGAAGACCAAACCATTCCTAGGTGCCTGGAAGAGGCTGTTTGTATTTTAGTTAACTGACTGTTCATAACATCTCTAAGAAAATGTAGGGGCTGCGTGCTGTGGCTCACATCTGTAATCCCAGCACTTTGGGAAGCCAAGACCGGGGGATCACTTGAAGCCAGGAGTTTAAGAGCAGCCTGGCCAACATGGTGAAACGCTGTCTCTGCTAAAAATACAAAAATTAGCCAGGCGTAGTGGTGCAAGCCTGTAGTCCCAGCTACTTGGGAGCCTGAGGCATGAGAATTGCTTGCACGTGGGAGGTGGAGGTTGCAGTGAGCCGAGATCGCACCACTGCACTCCAGCCTGGGCAACAGAGTGAGGCTCTGTCTCAAAAAAAGAAAGAAAGAAAGAAAAAATGTAGGGTTAACCTTTTTTTTTTTTTTTTTTTGAGATGGAGTCTAGCTCTGTCACCCAGGATGGAGTGCAATGACACCATCTGGGCTGACTGCAACCTCTGCCTCCCAGGTTAAAATGATTCTCCTGCCTCATCCTCCTGAGTTGCTGGGATTACAGGGTGTACCAACACACCCAGCTGATACTTGTTTTTACTGGAGACAGGATTTTGCCACCATGTTGGCCAGGCTGGCTTGAACTCCTGACTTCAAGATCTACCCACCTTGACCTCCCAAAGTGCTGGGGTTACAGGCATGAACCACTGCCCCGGGCTGGGTTATCCTTATTTTGTAGATAAATGGAGGAACTCATGTAACTTCCTCAAAAGGTAACATACTTTGTAAGTGATCGACAGGATCTCAAACTATGCAGGCCAAGTCCCAGTGTCCTGACTCTTGTGCACGCCATTTCTGGCAAATAATGTGTTATTAGGTTGAGCCTGGTGGCTCACATCTGTAGTCCCAGCTATTTAGGAGGCCGAGGCAGGATCACTTGAACCCAGGAGTTGGAGGCTGCAAGGAGCTATGATTGCACTACTGTACTGCAGCCTGGGTGACAGAGCCAGACTCCATCTCAAAAAAAAAAAAAAAAAAAAAAAAAAAAAAAAAAAAAAAAAAAAAAAATTGCTAGGCATGGTGACGCACGCTTGTAGTCCTACCTACATGCTACATGGGAGGCTGAGGCAGAGGATCATGTGAGCACAGGAGTTCAAGACTACAGTGAACTATAATCTTGCCACTGCACTACATACTAGTAACAGGGTGAGATCCTATCTCAAAAAGAACAGGAACAAAATAAAGGATTAAAAGACCTTTTAAAGTAGCAAAATACATGGCGTCCTAAACATGCAGCCACAGTTATTCTTGCAAGGATAAAATACACAATATCCTATACTTTTTTTTTTTGAGATGTAGTCTCAGTCTGTCTCCTGGGCTAGAGTGCAGTGGCACAATCTCGGCTCAGTGCAACTTCCGCCTTCTGGGTTCAAGGAATTCTCCTGCCTCAGCCTCCTGAATAGCTGGGATTACAGGCGCCCAGGATTACACTATGCCCAGCTAATTTTTTGTATTTTTAGTAGGGATGGGTTTTCACCATGTTGGCCAGGCTGATCTCAAACTCCTGACCTCGTGACTGGCCTGCCTTGGCCTCCCAAAGTGCTGGGATTACAGGCGTCAGCCACTGAGCCTGGCCATGTTTTTGTTTTTTTTGAAATAGGATCTCACTCTGTCACTCAGGCTGGAGTGCAGTGGCATGAACATGGCTCACCATAGCCTGAATCTCTTGGGTTCAAGTGATTGCCTTAGCCTCCCCAGTAGCTGGGACCACAGTCATATACCACTATACCTAGCTAATTTTTAAATTTTTCGTAGAAACAGGGTGTTGGCATGCTGCCTAGGCTGCGCTCAAACTCCTGGGCTCAACTGTTCCTCCCATCTCTGCCTCTCAAAGTGTTGGGATTACAGGTGTGAGCCACAGCACCCAGCAAAATTTTGATTAATACTTCACAAAAATGTTTCTAAAATATTATATACCAGATACCAAAAGAAAGCCCATATCTTTAGCACAGTGCTCAAGTCCTCCAGTCTCTGCCCCCACTCACTCTTGTCTTGGCCCTTGTTTGTCTCTGATAACAATAATAATAATAATAATAATGTGACCAAGTGCAGTGGCTCATGTCTGTAATCCCAGCACTTTGGGAGACTGAGGTGGGCAGATCACAAGGTCAAGAGTTCAATACCAGCCTGACCAACATGGTGAAACC